AAAAATACAGCCCCCAGTTTACAAATATCTGACTTATGGACAACTCATACTTGGCTTTTAATGTTATGTAACTTTGCTTGCCCTCACTTGGAAATGCATGAACCAACCCCACACTCCCAACAAATTCTTCATCACAGTCACTTTCACTTGCTGTATGTGCAGTTTTTAAATCGCTGAAGGGCCTTCAAGCCTTTTTTTGCAAGAAACAAAACTGAAAAACCAAACTCACTGTCATTGAGTCAATTAAGACTCATAGTGATCCCCTTTGGATTTCTGAGGCAGTAAATCTTTACGGAAGTAGATTGCCCAGTCTTCCTTCCGTGGAGTGGCTGCGTGGGTTTGAACTGTCAACCTTCTGCTTAGCAGTCAAATGCCTTAGGCTCTGCACCACCAGAGCTCCTTTCTTGCAAGAAAGGCTAAATAAGAACCTATGCACCTGTTGTGATTTATCTACAAATTCTTAAAGACACACTCAGAAACAGATTTTGTTCATAACCCAGGTAACTCCATCTGGCACCGGGTTGCAAAACAGTAGGGATTTAATTATTCATTTCCCAAGAATTCTAGGCTAGCTAATTTTCAATATGTGAATGACCCTACACACTATTTTTATATTTCCTCACTTTACAATTTGGAAAAATTCCCAAGACAAAATTTTACCATTTACAATTACTGATTCTTATATATAACTCATTGTAATTTATCAGAGAGTATCTTAAATTTCCACTTTTTTTATTTGTCCAAAATTTAGGAACTGAGTAGCACTTTTATTCCTCTTCTGATTATCAGATGTTTGGAAAGTGTCATTACAAATTGAATAGTCTTCCATGTTAAAATTCCATTATTTTTTGGTCTCTATGTTCATGTGTTTAATGGACTTCTTTTGATCTTTTTGCTAGTGATATTGACCTCAACACTAAATGAGAGAGCCGGATGGATGTCTGAATTGAGACTGAGGAGTTTCTGTGACAGGCCAAGCAATCGCTTCTCTTTACAGATGCTCCTACTTTTGTGAAAATGTTACACTATAGAGTCCATAACATGGGCTAAGGGCTTTCAAATGCCCTGGGCCTCTGATAAGAAAAAGATGAGTTAGGAATTCTCTTGGTAGGAGCCATCCATTTCCATATTCTATTTCCTAAACCTTCTGGAATACCTATCTTTTGCCATAATTTGGTAATTCTCTCATTGTGGTAATCTTAAAAACTTTCCTACCTGCACACATTTCCACCTTTGACAGTTTCTGTGGTTGATCAACTTCCACAATGCTCCTCTCTAAGTCCAAACTATCCTTTCTCTTTCATGTTCGCCCTTACTCATGTTATCTCTCTGCCTCTTTCCCAGTTTAAGATACTGACCTTTTCCAGCATATATATAATTGCCACTCTGAAAACCTATGAATATTTAGGGTTTTAATGATTACCTCTTTGCAGCCATGGTCTAACCTTCAATTTCAACTGCAGCCTGCATAATGTGTATACTGGTTGTGTTGTCAACCCCTCATTGGCTGCTTTCTCAGCACCCCTTGCTAACTCCTCCCCCTTTGTCTAACCCCCTAAACACCAACTTGGCATTTTATAGGATGCTATCCTAGGTCTCTAGCTTACTACACTCTCTCTAGGACAGCAATCTCCAATAATACTTTCTGCAATGATGAAAATTTACCATATCTACACTATCCAATAAGGTGGCCAACTGCCACATATGATTACTGAACACTTGAAATGTGGCCAATGTGACTGAGGAACAAGTTTTAATTTAATTAATTTTAATAGCTCTATGAGGTTGGTGGTTATTGTATTGAATAGCATAACTCTAGGGATTTCTTTCATTCCATCCAATGACTTTATATCTCTTCTATTTATTTGGTAACTCCCAAATGTACAGTTCCAACCACAACTGTTCAGAGCTCCAGTTCTGTATACTGACTACCTGAAATTCCCACATGCACATCTTACATAAATTTCAAATATGGTAATCCAAAAGAGTTCTAGCTTTCTCCTTCCCCAAACCTATTCCTTTTCCAGTCTCACCTATTCAGTAAATGGTACCACTGTCCACTCAGTGGCAAAGGCCAGAAATCAGAAAGTCATCCTTGATTGCTCCCTGCCAATTACCCCTTGTATCCAATTCATTAGCAGGTCGTTGATTCTATTTCCCAAATATATCTTAAATCTATCTAATTCTATCTCCATTACTACTACCCTGTCCAGGTCATCATCCCTTCACACCTGGACTGCTACCAGTCTCCAATATTCTTTCAGTCTTGTCCATTTACAAATCTTTTTCTACTTAGCAGCCAGAGTAGTCATCTTAAAATATAAATTGAACATGTCATTCCTCCACTGAATACCTTTCGGTGGCTCCTCTTTTCACTTAGGATAGAGTAGAATGACCTCACCCACCTCTATTTCCAAATCCAACTTCTGCTACACACATTTTTTTGGGTACATGCAACATGCCAAACTCTCCCCACATCAGGGGATCTGCATAGCTGTTTCCTTTGTCTGCTTTTCTCCTGCTCTTGATACAAGTGGCTCTTTCTCATCCTTTCATTCTTAGTTTTAATGTTACCTCCTTCCTAGGATAAGCCTTCCTTGATCACCTACATAAAGTAGGCCCCATCCATATCATGCTCTCTCAGGACTCTTTACATTTCTTTTATAGTACTTTGCCATTTAAAATAGTTTTTAAAATTATTTTTACTCCTTTTGGGGGGCTGGGAGGATGTTTGGTCTCTCTCACTAGACTAAATGTTCCAGGAGGGCAGGCAGGGAGCAAGTCTGACTTACTGTCTACCCAGTGCCTGGCACAGTGTTTTCCACACAAGTAGTGCTTAATATTTCATAAGCAAATCCCTTCAAACACCTGTTCATATCATACTTTTCCATTTCCTTGGTTCCATGTGATATAAAAACATTTTTACTGTTTATTAGAGGTTGCCTTGACTGTGATGTGGTAGGCCAAGTTCTCCTTACTACATGGACTTAGGCTTCAGTAACCAGGAACTCTGGAGATAACATGTTTGTGATTTTCAGGAAGCAGAAGGTGGGTCCAAGCAGACTTCTGACTTCTCTTCTCTGCTCCTTAAACAACAAGCAAACTAACTGGCAGGAAGCTTACAAAATGGAATGCCTAAATAGCAGTGCATTGTCTGAGGAATGACTCTAAAGGTCAAGAGTCTGAAATGGATGTTTCCAACCTATTTTGGTCAGCATTCTTCTCTCTTGAATAGGGCCTTTGGTTCTCCTGAATAATGTCAAGATGGTCAGTATCACTTTCCAATATCCTGTATTTAATTGCTACTATTAGCAGCTTCCATCCCCTTTAAAAAGATAATTGTTATATAAACTCCTTCTGACTTCAAGTATAGTTAATTTTGGAATTCTTCGCTTTCCCCTTACTTGTGTTGGACCTGTGTTCCCAGCATTTATTTTCTCTTTGATCCTGGACCAAGAGAAGGCAATGTTAACTCAGATGTCAAGATACTAGATCAGAAGGGATCTTTTCAACTGCTGACTAGCTGAAGCTTTCTAATAGAGTATTAACCATCTTCAGAATCTGCTTGTTTCTCCTACCCTTGGTGACTAGACCAAAGCTTATTTGGGGATGTGAGTTATTATGGTAATGAGGGGGGAGAGACTGGGAGAGGATTTAGAATAATGTTATAATGAGGAAAGGGGTTGTAGCTATACAGATTTTTATGAAAAAAATCTCAAGCTTAGCTTCCATAAAACTAAACCCACTGCCATCTAGTCAGTTCTGACTCATAGTGACCCTACTGGACAGAGCAGAACTGTCCCATAGGGCTGCCAAGGCTATAAATCTTTACAGAACCAGATTCTCTCATATTTCCCCTACAGAATGGCTGGTGGGTTCAAACGGCCCACCTTTTGGTTAGCAGCCAAATGCCTGAACCTCTGTGCCACCAGAGTGCTTTAGGCTTGGCTTACAACATCATAATTTCCCACTCCCAGAGTGCTGCCTGATAACCAAGGGCAATCAGGTCTCCCAAGATTACACAACCCAGATTACCCTCTACTGCTTTCCCTAAGTTACCTTGGTGACCCCAAGGAAGACTGTAACTTCTGAGGACAAAAAGATCCTAGAATTGGCAATATCAATTCAGTGTCAGCTACATCAAATAAGGCTTTGGGTGAGGTAGACTTATGAAAAGTAATATTAATAAATACTTGTATATATAGTGAGACTATCTCCAGAAGAATATACAACCTGTAACAGTAATTGCCTCTAGGAGAGGAGTAAAAAGGAAACTTACTTTTCATTGAACATCCTTATGAAGTATTTAAATTTCTTTCTTTTTTTAAAATCATATTCATGTTAAATCTAGGAATAAATAAATAAATTTTAAAATAAGAGAAACAAAAGAAATGCAGCACTGGCTCTCAAAGAGGAATTTAGCTAGGCTCAAGACTAACAAATATGAGACTATCAGAAAAATACAAGACAGCACATACCACTTGAGTGTGCTAATTACAAGAAGGATAGAAAAAGAAGTCTGTTTAGTTGAAAAAGCTGGATCTAACATGAAGGGAAACTTTTAGCTCAGAAAAACTGGAGCAAATAAAAATGGGTAGAGGCAGGAATAAGCATAATTAAAAAAACAGTGGACTCTGGAGTCAGATAGGCCTGGTTTCAATTGCAACTGTATCACATAGCTGAGTAATCTTGAATGAGTTTTTAAAAAACCTCTTTCAACCTCAGATTCCTTATTTGTAAAATGAGGATGAGTACCTACCTTAAAAGAATTGTTAAGAAAATTAAATAATGCACCTAAAGCACCTGACACTAAATAGTGGCTGGTATAAACATGGGTATACCCAGTCTTGTTAAGAGTACTACTAGGTATCTGTTCAGAATAAGGGGCAAGATATTACTGGCTATTAGGGTAAGAGTTAAATTGTAGAAGGTCACCTTATTTTCTCTCTGGGGTTCCTGTAGCATGGGAATTATAAACAAGTATCGCCATTATGCATTCTCTAATGTTCAAGATGAGAAATGGGACAATCATAGGGTATCTCTCTAGCATGGCGCCTCTTGTGCTTAATTAAGACAGAATTCTGACTGAAGGCCTTCCCACAATCATTACATTTATAGGGTCTTTCCCCAGTATGAATTCTCTGATGCCGGATAAGGTGTGCCTTGCAAATGAAGCTTTTCCCACACTCAGTACACTCATGAGGTTTCTCCCCAGTGTGGACCCTGTGGTGCTGAGCAAGATCTGAGTTCCACATGAAGCCTTTCCCACAGACCTTACATTCATAAGGCTTCTCCCCAGTGTGAATTCTCTGATGTCGAAGAAGGGCAGGGTTCCGAGTAAAGCTTTTTCCACATTCTTTACACACATATGGTTTCTCCCCAGTGTGGATTCGCTGATGTTGTATAAGGCTTGTATTCTGACTAAAGCCCTTCCCACATTCCTTACATTCAAAAGGTTTCTCTCCAGTATGTATTCTCTGGTGCCTAATCAGGTTTGACTTCCAAACAAAGGCTTTAGCACATTCTTGACATTCATAGGGTTTCACCCTAGTGTGAATTCTCTGATGTGAAATGCAATGTGATCTAAAACGGAAAGCCTTCCCACATTCCTTACAACCATAGACTTTTTCTTTATTATGAGTTCTTTGGTGTTGATCAAAGTCTTCATTTTGATAAAAATACTTGCCACAATCTTCACATATATAGAATAGCTGCTCACTTAGAATTTTCTGATGTATAGTAAGGTGGGTATTGAGATTGGTACTGTCTGAACTCTCTTCTACTGAGATCATCTCATCCTTGACAATCACTTCTATAATATCATTTGTAGTGCTCTCCATGCTGTCCTCATTGGGCCATCTTCCTAACTGTCTTTTCTCCTCTTCACAGGTTTTTCCAAACCAGAATTCCTGGGAGCCATACCACTGGGGTCCACTTGATAGCACTATATGGTCATGTGCCTCCTGAAAAAATTCCTGCTTCAGAACAAAATCCTCTTTTTCACTCTTCAACACACCCTCTGAAAGAAGAAATCAGAGCTGCAATTGTTATCAAAACCCACCAAATGGTATAAATATGTCCATTTCTCTCCAAGTGCCACCCCCAGATCTCGAAAGCCTTATCCTAACAGAAAATGGCAAAGCAAGGTTATCATACAGAAAGTAAGGGAAAGCTAAAAAGGTGGAAACTAGACAGGGAGCCTCTGAGGGCTGTGATTCCCAGCACCAGCTCAAGCACATGGTGGAATCTTAGGAAACAGTTGCATTGAATCCAAGTGAGAAAATGAAATTCCTTTTAGGTAGCTCAGTCCAGTTTATAGTATGAGAAGAAGAACAGGTCAAAATTCAGAGCAGAGGACTTGTTCAGAAATTAAAAAAAAAAAAAAAATCCTTTGTGGTATACCTGAGCTTTGTCACACAGGGGGCAAAGAAGGACCTTTCTCTCACTTCTCAACACTAATCAACAGAAATGTAGTCTTTTCACTCAATCCAGTCACCAGGCCTACCATAAAAAATGTTTCCACCTACTACTTCAGGGAGAGTTGGGCAAATATTCCCTCCCCTTTGTTCTGAAAGAGCTTATTCACATCTATGTTAAAGCATCATCATTTTGCTAGAATTATGCATTTATGTATCTGACTGTCCCATTAGACTGTGAAAACTTCCAGGATAGAAGCCATAGCTTACTTGTGTTTGGATCCCTGCCAACTAAAGCAATAAGCAAAATTTAGCATTTACATTAAAAATATTGGTTGACTAGAGTGGCCAGATAGGCAGGCAATATATGCAGCTTGGTCCTAGGACCCAAGACTCATCCTAATTTAATTAACTGAGCTTGACCTCATGAAAGCTGTAATATTAGGGTTTAAGTAGATTTGGAGGCTGCTGGAGAGTCTTTCATTTACAGCATGAACCATGAAATGGATTTTTAACATTTTACAAAGGAAAGGCACAGGAAAACGTGTGACTGGGAGAAAAGTTCTCATTTCCCTCTCACTTACCAGTATAAATTAGGTTTGGACCCTCTCCTTGCAGTCTCATGTTCAGTGGCTCTTCTACCTGCTCAAGATGGGAGATCTCAGCAGGCTTTAGAAATGGATATCCTGCCAGTGTCAAGATACAAATAAGGCCAGCTCAGTCAGAGGAACAGGGTCCACTAGGAAAAGAGAGGAGATGGAAGTGGCAGCAGGAGAATGAGGGTGGGTGTTGGTAATGTAGATGATCTGAAACTTGAGGGGAAAACTAATATAAAGGATAGGAAATAGAGATACAGGAAAGTTGCAATTCCATCAATTCCCAAAGAGACAAAAACATGTAACCCATTTTAAAATGTCAAGAAGAAGAAATAGGAAAATTGGGAAAGAAACTTAATCAAGTTTTCGTGTGCCAACACAAGCTTCTTGGACCCTCTCTAGACCTAACTCCTTAAAAATCTAAGACTAAGCCTTCTCCATTTTCCCTTTGAAGGCAAAAACCAGTTCACATAGCAAAAGAATCAGAATAGGATGAATTTCAAATAACTTTTCTTGGGAACTTTCTGTCTAGTCAGGCTATGTTGGAAAATCACTATTTCAGTTTCCTTCCTTCCTATCCATCTATCTATTGCCTTTGAATTCCACAAAGGACCTGAGGCAGTTCAATGAGGGGTTATCTATGACATCTGTAAGAAATGGCTTCTTCCAGAAATGCAAGCTGGATTCAGAAGAGGACGTGGAATGACAAATAATTGCTGATGTCAGATGGATCTTGGTTTAAAGCAGAGAATACCAGAAAGGTGTTTACTTATGTCTTATTGACTATTCAAAGGCATTTGATTGTGTGGATCATAACAAATTATGGATAACATTGGGAAGAATGGGAATTCCAGAACACTTAGCTGTGCTCATAAGGAACCTGTACATAGACCAGGAGGCTGTCATTGAAACAGAACAAGGGGACGCTGCATGGTTAAAATCAAGAAGGGAGTATGTCAGGGTTGTATCCTTTCACCATACTTATTCAATCTCTATGCTGAGCAATTAATCAGAGAAGCTGGACTATATGAAGAAGAACATGGCATCAAGGTTGGAGGAAGAATCATTAACAATCTGAATTATGCAGACAACATAACTTTGCTCGCTGAAAGCAAGGATGACTTGAAACACTTACTGATGAAGATTGAAGACTACAGTCTGCAGTATGGATTACACTTCAATATAAAGAAAACAAAAATCCTCAAAATGGGACCAATAAACAGCATCATAATAAATCGAGAAAACATTGAAGTTGTCAAAGACTTCATATTACTTGGTTCTACAATCAACACCAATGGAAACAGCAGTGAGATATCAGACGTCATATAACATTGGGCAAATCTGCTGCAAAGGACCTCTTTCAAGTGCTGAAGTACAAAGATGTTTCTTTGAAGACTGAAGTGTGCTTGACACAAACCATGGTATTTTCAATTGCCTCATGCATGTAAGAGCTAGACAATGAAAAAAGAAGACTGAAGAAGAGTTGATGCTTTTGAGTTGTGGTGTCAGCGAAGAATGCTGAAAGCACAATGGACTGCTAAAAGAACTAACAAATCTGTCCTGGAAGAAGTGTAGCTGGAATGCTCCTTGAAAGCGAGAATGGCCAGGCTTTGTTTCACCTACTTTGGTCATGTTGTCAGAAGGGACCATCCCTGCAGAAGGGTATCATGCTTGGCAAAGTGGAGGGACAACAAAAAAGGGGAAGGCCCTCAATGAGATGGATTGACACAGCAGCTGCAACAATGGGCCCAGGTATAGCAAGGATCATGGGGCTGGCACAGGACCATGAAGTGTTTCATTCTGCTGTACATGAGGTCGCTATGAGTTGGAGATGACTTGACAGCACCTAAAAACAACAACAAAGAAATGGCCTCAAGCCTCATCAGCTGTTTCCAGAAGTCATACCTTACTCTACTGATGGACACCTCTATTCAAACAGGTCCATTCTGATAAACTTTTTCAAGCTAAGCTAAGACCTCTTTGTCATTACCATCTAAACTCTCCTAAGATTCAGAGCAATTTTACACTCTCTAAATGATAACCTTTTACATTGCTAAAGCAAGGGACTATGTATCCCCTGAGTATTTTCTTCTCTCAGACAAAAGTGGACTTTAAGTAGGGGCAGATGTGCTCCAGATAAGCTGCTACAGGTCAGAGATTTGGAGTTTTGCTCAAGGAATAAGTTTGCTGTTGGTTTTCTGCCTAAAGAAAAGATGGGAAATTCCTACAGACAGAAGAATAAGGACTAAGATCCTGAAAAAGCACAGAGGACATTGTGGTTGTCTTCCTGTATCAGTTCTAACCTCCCCCCAATGTGGGTAGGCCTTGACTAGTAGAAGTCAATCAGTCTAAGCCCATCCTATTTACAACAGTATTGGTTCAGGGATAGGCAATCCAAATCAAGCCAATCAGTGCACAGTGTTTCCCTGGTCACAGTGATTTAGAGCTAGCATATGAGTTAAAATGGTCCAATTAGAGCAATATTTGGGACTTGGATTCACAATTATTACAAGGCTGAGGAAGACCTACCCTGTTTCTCCCCATAGGTATGAAGAAAGAAGCAAAAAGGTCTGGGTACAAGTACCAATCACCTTACAACCATAAGAGGATCCAGACTGTGGACAAAGCTGACATACAAGGAGACAGAAAAGAAACAAGAATTCTGATCAAAGTGTATCTGTAGCCCATTTTACCTATGTACTTCCAGTTCCATTAAACAGTAGATTCCTCTTCATTGATAAGTCACTTAGAGTTTGGTTTTCTGTTACTTGCAACTAAAAATACTATAATATGGAAAGATTGCCAGATACAGCAAAGAACTGTGAGAATGGGGAAGACCAAGCTTAAGTCTCTCTGTGTATACAGAAGAGCCTTAGTAGGAAGAAGATAGAATGAGACCAGGGAGGCAGTAGGGAGACACAAGACTCTCTTGGAAACTAGGAGCAGAAAAGCCTAAAGGAATCCCAGAGCTTTTCCCACCAGCAATTCCTCGGAAGAGGAACTGAACTATTCAACTGAGAGTTATTGAGACTTCTCAACTTCTAATGATAAAGATTACCTGCCAAGAGCAGAGTCACAATCTTCTGCTGGAAGACTATAAGGCTGGGGAAGTAGAAAGGCCACTTCAGATCAGAGAGTAAACAAGAAAGTCAGAGAGTAAAGATAAATGGTGGCCATCTTAAGAAGTGCAGAGACAAGTTAGAAGTAAAACAGGTGAATACAAATGGTACACAGGAGCCGAGAGCAAGTGGGATAAACCAAACAAGAATTTGAGAAGATGGAAAAACATGAGAACGCAGAGAAAAATGGGAATTCCACTAGTATCTACAGAACTGGGTTAACAGAACACACACCTATTACATTTTAAAGATCAAGGCAAGAGAACTGGTCAGACAATTGCCACGTGTCCTCACTCACCTGAGGAAATGTCCCACAGGCCCTCTCCATCCAGAGCTCCCCAAGGAGCTGAGCACCAGGGTTCTTCTCCTTGTTCCAGCTGGGAAATCAGAGCTGGTTTGGGAAATGGAAATGCTCCTTGAAGGGAAGGAAATGGCACAAGCTGGTGAGTGGAGTCAAAAGAGCAATTTCAGGGCTCTTCCCAGACCTCTGTCATCTAGGGCAGGAGGGGAAAGAAGGGAAGTAACTAGAGAGAACAAGAAAGGATAAGGGGCAGGAGACCCAGGGGAAAGGGCCAGGAGGCTTACAAAGGTCGAGAAGTTGACAGAGTAAGTAAGAAGAGCTTAATAACAGTTTGAGTGAGCAAATAGGTGATTTCACTCACTGAGGAATTGAGCTTTCTTGTCTTCTCTTTCTTAGAGCTCTCAAGTTCAGACATCTGTATGAGGAGGTTCACTATTGGGCCAGGATCTCCCTTACTGAACAGTAGTGTGGGGAACTGAGAGCTCAGTAGAGTTCCAGGAATCTTCTCTCTTCCCACTGCACCAAAACAAGTGGGGTGGAGGTGGGGGTAGCATATCTAGGAAGCCCTCTGTGGGGCCCAAATTGACACCAGGACTTCCACTTTTTAGCAACCTCTGAGGTTGGACCATAAAGAATCCAAGAGCCTGAAGCTACCACTCAGCTCAGGATTATCAATGATTCTTGGGCCTCTGAAGTAGAAGGAACCTGGAAACTCTGGAGGGCAGAGACAGAACCCAAAGGGAGAGACCCTCACCCAAGGAAGCCACAGCACCATAATTTTCCAGCATCACATCCTTGTACAGAGCCCTCTGGGCAGGGGCCAGGCTGGTCCATTCATTTTCAGAGAAGTAGACAGCTACGTCCTCAAAGGTCACTGACTCCTGAAACAACAGGTGTTTAAATGCCCCCAGCACAACCCCAGGGCCTAGGCCGGGAGTAAGAGGTAGAAACAGGCCTAAAAGGTAATAGAGGAGAAGCCTGTTAGGTTCTTGGATTCAGAATATCTCAGGGTATGCTAAGCAGAGGGAGCTCTGGTAGCATAGTGCCTAAGGCACTTGATTGCTAACCAGAAGGCTGGTGGGTTTGAACTCTTCAGAAGGAAGGTTGAGCAATCTACTTCTGTAGTGATACCGCCTTGGAAACCCAAGGAGGGGTCACTATGAGTTGGATCCGACTTGATGGCACACAACAACAACAACAACATGCTAAGCAGAAGATTTCATCTCCTACTTACAGAGAAGATATAAAATAGCAGCCATCAATTTTCTTATGTCTTCTCTATACTCAAAACAACCACCAGTGTTCCAGATCCCATGCCTGCTCAGTGTGTCCTCCTTCAGAGGTCACTAACCCTTGGTAACAATGTTGTTGTTGTTGTTAGGCACTACACTACCAGGGCTGTAAACCTAGGCTAATTAAAATTCTGACCATTCGCTGCTACCCACAGCGCTGTTAATACTTCGCCCTTTGCTCAAGGTGGGGGAACTCTGGTAGCATAGTGCCTTGTTGTTGTTGTTTGCCGTGGAGTCAGCCCTGACTCATAGCGCTTGGGTTTCCGAGGCAGTATCACTACGGAAGTAGGATTGCCCAACCTTCCTTCCGAGTCAGTGCTAACCAGAAAGTTAGCAGTTCAGACCCACCAGCCACTCCTCAGAAGGAAGGTTGGGCAATCTATTTCCGTAGTGATACCGCCTCAGAAACCCAAGGAGGGGTCGCTATGAGTCGGAGCCGACTCGACGGCAAACAACAGCTCAAGCTGGTGCAGCTGCACACCTGCTTCCCTGCCAACTCAAGTGTAGGGGTTTCAACTCCACCTTGAACCCTGCCTACCCCTCGGGGCCCTCCACTCGGAGCTGTACCCGCCTTTCCCCGTGGCCGCACTGCCCCCTCTCCGCCCCTTATCTGTGGCTAGAGCCCGGGGCAAGGCTGAGTGTGTTTCCAGACGCCCACAGTGCACTCACCCGGAGCGCCCGGGGCAGCGCGGGACGTACGGGCAGCAGCTCGAGGGCACAGCTGAAGCAGGCCCCGATTGCCTGGGCCGCGGTAGCCATGGCCCCGGCCGCCCTCCGGGGAAACTAGCGCGCGCCGGCCTGACTGGAGACTGACGGGGTTCTGGAAACGGCGCTGAGCACCGAGTGGACCTGCGCAGCGCCCCCGAGCCGGGGCTACACCCTGGATGGGTGCTCCGCCAGGCCCTCGCGCTCTGCGCCCCCCAGACCTCGGCGTCCGGGAGACCGCGGCAGCCGCACTCGTGCTGCTCTGGCTTCTCTAGGACCGTGGAGGGAGTTGCGTCTCTGTGGTCCTCCTTCCCCACCCCGCGGAGCAAGAAGGAGGGGAACTTAGTCTAGATCTCGCCGAGACCCTGACCTCCCAGAGGAAGCCGTTACCCAACTCCACAGGAACAGGCGGCTGGAGAGAGCGGTTCTTGGGAAATCCTTTCCCAGCCGTCCTCCTCCCACTAACCAACCTTTCGTCTGCACACCCTGGCACCGTAGTATGGATGGATGCTGATATATGCAGCCCATACTTGACTTTACTGCACCTGTTCGTCTATCTGCCTCCCTTTACTAGGTTTTACACTCCCAGAAGGCAGAATACATACTTGACTTACCCGTTTTTGTGCCTTGTAACATCCGTCCAATGCCTGTCATCTAGCGCTCTATTTCTTTAAGTACCAAAAAATGAGTATCTGTTGAATAAAAGAATGAATAAATGTTTAACTTGTCAGTTTTTCAGTTGAAATAAGGCCAAAAGAGAGGAAATGGTTTGTCTAACATCACAAAGCAGAGTGAACAAGGCTCAGGTGCTTGGATGCTTTATAGCTCTCCTGGTCCTGAGAGCTTGCAGATACTGTACCTGTGAGAAAAGAAGACCTCATACTGGTTCCCATGTTTGCTTTTAAGAGGACACTGGAGAAGCTCGTGAATGGACACTAGCTGTGGGTGCTGAGAAGGAAGCTGGGACTCTTAACCATGGTGAAGGTCAGTTACTACGTAGGTTGAACATACAACAAAAGTTCCCATAGTTTTTCTTGGGAAAAGAATGGAGCAAACTGGACTACATGACAAAACAATTATGAGGTTTTAGCTACTGAGCAATAAGCTCTGAAGATACCTGTTTACTAGGTAATGGTCCACCAGAAGGAAGGACTCTTATGGCTCTGCTCAGTGTTTTTGTCAAAACTTTTAGAAGACTAACAAGGAGATGGATAGATCAAATAGATGACCTATTATGTTTACCCATACTATTCCTCTTTCCATTGTTCTTTCTGTCAAGCACAGAACAGCAGGCAACGCTAAGGCCAAGGCCTGACTGATTTGGTTAGTAAAGATACACTGAGCCACTTTTGGATTTACACCATTTATTACTTACATACACAGCAAAAGAAAGAGGGGCCAAATGTGCCAACTCCCAGCAAGTCCTCATCTCACACTCCAAAAACAAACGATGTTGAAATAAAAGGAGCTGCATGACTGCAATGAGTGGGGCACCTCACTGCTGAGGAGCCAATTCTAAACTGTAACTAAGTGGTATTATAAAATGTAGCTAATCCTGATAGCCTCTGCTGGGAGATAGGGGAGCGGGAGATGCCTTGCAAAGCTCTTCCCATCCCCTTGTGCTCTGGAAGGATTACATGGTGATTTGCCAAAACTCAGATAATCTGCTGTTCAAGCTTTTGCCTGCATTGCCTATGTAGATATGTGCAAGATTGCCAGGGAGCTGTGGTGGGGCTATTCCCCTACAACTCCTCCGCCCACTGACTTTTCACACATCCAGCTAAGAATTCTCTAGACCACAGGCCACCAGAGAGAGGCCACCAAATACTCTAATTAGTTGTATTGATAGAGGCTTGGACAAATCCATTTCGTTTGTATTAGGCAACATTAGACAAGAATGACCATGATTGTGACTGCGCAGAGGGTGTTCAGGCCCTCCTGGAGAATAGACTGTGGCCAGGCTCCCCATCCAGGCTCAGCCAGCTAAATATGTCATTAATTCAGGGCAATGATTGGCCATTACCAGTCATGCTGACAGTGTAGAGCAATCAGTGGTAGTCTGAGAAGAATGTACAAAAGAATCCAACAATAACAGGATGTGGCTAAAGGGCATCATCTCAGTGTCCAGATAGTTAATCTTATTCTGGCTTTTGGAGTGGAGTCTGTTCCTTTCTGGAGTCAGTGGCTGTTAGGAAGTTTCTGAGAGTTTTAAAATTGTTTGTTGGCCAATGTTAAAGGTGAGGGTTGTAGGAGAAGTGTGGGTTGAATTGGCCAGATGCTCCCGCAGACAATAGCTGAGAAAGAGTGACAGTCCCTTCCTCCACCCTTGACTTTCCAGTATCTAAGGTGTTCTTTTCTCACCAACCCAGATTGTTCCTCTCCTTCCAGAGCCACGTGATCACTGTGATGAATCCCTGCAACAATCACTTAACCTTTTTTCCAATCCTTCGCAGTCTTACCCACACCATATGCCCAGATTGACCCCTAATTAGTTCAGGAGTTTGTTTCTTATTTGTATCACCATTTTACTTTCTAACTTGTACAACTCTGGCATGTCTCCCACCCTCTGACATGTGGTTATGTCAAGAACATCTAAGGAATTGTCACTTCATATTCATAATCATTATCATTATCTATAATTACCCAAATCCAGCAAGTATAGGTGGATAGCAAAAACAGAACAAAACAAACATCAGGTTTGAGTCTCCTCCCCCTCCCCCTTCTTTCCTGCTCACAAATTTCAGTTGCCCTGTTTTCCAGGGATAGGTGGGAGGAAAAAAAAAAAAATAGAGTAGGAAGGGTTATTTATGTGGGCTGAGTCTCTTCCATCCAATATGGGCTTTCTCCCACTCTGAAACTTCAAATTTTAACATTTAAGTGAGAGATATCTTTTTGAATGGTAGCCACATTAAGAGTTTATACTACCTTAAATTGTGTGCCACTGAGAGTTGAGTCTTGGTTGTCCAGTTATCTTATTCAGCTTTTCTTTTAAGAGTTCATTCCCTCTTTTAATAACATCTGTTGCTTGGGGATGATACAAGGAATAAGAGGTCCAGCTAATGTCCTAGGTAACTGTCCATTGCTAACTACTTTTAGCATAAAAGTGACACTATTGTTGTCAAGTAAGGTCCAGGTTCACCAACACAGCACAATGTACTCACAAGTATTGGATAAAACATGGTTTTATTCACACAGAGGAGTGACAGAACAAGGTCAGCTTCAGTAGTGGGTACCAGTCCATCATGGCCAGCTGGTCACTCCCTGCAGCTACCACAGGGATGTTGAGTTGCACACAACCCTCTCATGTTGCAGTTAAAGAACCTTGTTCCCTATCCACTGGGAACAGATATAGAAGTGGGGTTGGCCAGGTGCCGTATAATGCATGTTTATGAACAGAGCAGAGAAACAAAATTTACTGGGCACCCAGTACAGAGAGAGAGGCTCCTCCCTAATAAGGAGAATAAAGTAGGAGACAGAGGGACTCCATTCCCAGCCTTCATTATCAGGGAATGCTCTGGGCCCAAGGCTTCTGATTAGGGGGCCTGGATGAGAAGCACAGGAACTGCAGCAGATCATCTTCCCAACAATGTCTAATTGGGTGTGTTGGGGTAATCCAAATATGAACATAGCCCGTATAAGAGTTTGTACTGTATGGTCAACATCTATGTGCATAGGTGCAGCAGTGTTATACTCTGAAAAGGTGTCAACTGCTGCCAATGCTCAGCAGTACCTCAAGAGACAGGTAATGGGTCTATATAGTCTATTTTCCTGGCCGGGTCTGGGACTCCTAGCTATGTGCTCCGGAGTTTCCTTTACTATGTAACTATGTGGCTGATGGTCTGAGCACATTTGTCAGGCTTCCATGTTCCTTCTTCCTT